AGAGAAGCACGGAATTGACAGAGTCCAAATTGCTTAGTTCACTGTTTATTATTCATTTTACAAAGAAAAAAACAAAAAAAGAACTCGTCATTATCTCAATAGCCCTCTAAACTCTTCCTAACTAACACCGGCAGAGGCAGAACAAAGAAGAAGCGTTCAGGCATCTAACATTTACGGAGCAGAAAATAGTAACTGTTTGACTTTCAGAGAGGGGGGTAGGAACTAACCAAACGCAAGTGAGATTGAGCTGCGAAATCACTTTCCGGGGAGACCCAACAAGCCAAAATCAAGAAACGGAACAACCAAAGCCCGGAATCTTCCCGCCGAGCTCTCGGAATCCCGCTAGTGTTATCTACAGCATCATAAGAAAGGACCCGACACCCTCCATTTCGCGATGATGAGATAATTCGGTCCTAAAACGTAAGGACCTGAAGACTTGAGAGTGAGAGAGATTCTTGAATGGCTCTGCTTAACCGGAGACTATTACGCATTCCGTTGAAGGAATCTTCGTTTAGCTGTAGTCTGGTACAATACCCAGCTAAGGAATATTAAACAAGGATTGTCTCCCGATTCAAAACGTGATATCTTGTTTTGGTGGGGTCGTGCTCTGCTTCCCAACTTTCCACGCCGTTTACCGCCGCCCACGAAGGGAGGAGAGAGAGATACGTATGTCTAATCACTCGGGGGATTCGGTCAACGCGTGGTGATGGAGTCGCTTTCGGGTGGAGTTAAATACGAACACTAGAGTGGGGACGATCTAACGACTTCCATGCATCGCCCCTTTGGTTGGTTGCGGTGAAGCCGTTTTCCTCATCCCCGGAACAGACCGTGGGAGCGATGTCGGATGCAGAATGGCGTGGGATATCATGGGACACCAGTGAAAGATGGATTAAGATCCACACTGGTTCCTCCTCTGCTGCAGCCTGTCCTAGGACGTGGCGGTAGCTTTTCGTCTGTACTGTTTCCAATCTCGGGGAAATCAATGAGGTGACAATGTCTATTTTTAATTTGGAAAAATACCACCAAAAACCTCAAATTACATCCGCTGTGACACATTTCCCTTAAACTTTTTTTTTTAATATCAAAAACTCCAAACTATGCTCACTGTCATACATTTCCCCTCAGTTAGGGCTCTGTTAAAAATCACAGTTAAAATCTGACGTGGCTCCGACGTGTCGTCTGATGTGGCGCCACGTGAGCCCCCAGTCAGAAAAAAAATAAAAATAAAAATTAAACCTAAAAAAGAAAAAAAAATCGAAGTATTGTAATTGATGTTACTATTCATCATCTTCGATGCCCTGTACATCGTCTTCGAAGACGATGAACAGTAACAGCAATTATAGTACTTCGATTTTTTTCTTTTTTAGGTTTAATTTTTATTTTATTTTTTTCTGACTGGGCGCTCACGTGATGCCACATCAGACGACATGTTGGTGCCACGTCAGATTTTAACGGTGATTTTTAATAGAACCCTAACTGAGGGTAAATGTGTCACAGTGAGCATAGTTTGGAGTTTTTGGTGTCACAAAAAAAAGTTTAGGGTAAATGTGTCACAGCGGGCATAGTTTGGGATTTTTGGTGTTACAAAAAATTTTTTGGGTAAATGTATCACAGTGGGCATAGTTTGAGGTTTTTGGTGATGTTTTCCCTTTTAATTAATATCATGTTGAGTCAATAAAAAGAATATACAATAAAAAATTGGTAGCATAGGTTTCGAGTTAATAATTAGTTCATACCTCATGTTGGATTCATATCTTCAATCTGGCGTTCACGTTTCTTGTTTGCCTCAGCAAAGTTGATTCTGCATTTGGATAGGAGAACCAAAGATAAGTTTAGTTTTAGTACAACCTAGGAGCTTGATCTAAATCTCTGTCTCAACGCAGTATCACACGATGTTGATGATAGCAACTCTCATTTATACAGCAGATCATGGATTTGGAAAGATATTCACAATAATTGGGCTGTTCAAAAGAAAGTGCTCTGTCGGCATGTATACAACTTTTGGTGCCAGTTGCTGACAGAACTAATTTGTCCAGTTCCTAAAAAAAATATATTTCTAGCCATACAAGTGGTTGTTATTAATTTGTGAAGCTCTACCATTGTTCTATATCTATGGGCAATCACTTATTTTGATCAGCCCAATTATTGTGCAGCAAATTACAAGGCTGCTCAGTGCCTTGCACTGCCTTTTAAATGTTGAAAGGAGTTCAATCGTTTTGCAGCATTTTATGGAAACTGGACAGGGTAATGCCATTGCAAGTGCTATGATTGTGTTTAAATTATATGGAGATATTTGATTTGCCTGTTCCATGAAGCATATCATTTTGTTCACCTTGGATTCCTTGATTTTGAACGTAGTCTTTCTGCCTTTGAGCTTAACGTAATAGTATTGATACTGAGAGTTATTTCTCTTTATGGATTAGATTGTCTTTCTCCCTCCAAATTGGATTTTTAATTCCTTGCGTGAATGTATGGCAGTCCTCTCCCCGGCAAAGGTTTCCAAACTGGAGCATATTTTGCCTACCTGGGTATCTTCATGGGGCTCAAAGAAAGTGAACTTGTTGCATACACGAATAAAATTGGGTGTGAGAGTCTCTTCTCTTAGGCAGCAGGAGATGTGAGTATCGATTAATTAGTGGAACTTATTGACTTAAACTTAGTAATCAATCCCAACGTAAGGTAGAGACCTCTTCCAAGTTTTGGAGATGAACATTTCTAGAGTGAGTGATGGTGGCATTAACTGCTTTTAAAATTTAAAGTTCTTTTGCAAAAGGTAAATAACCATCCTGATTGCTCTTGATCTTTATCTTAACTTTATCAAATCTTATAATATGGCTTGATTAACTGCCCGTAAAAATGCTGTGTTGAAATGTTATTTCAGATGAGTTGCATCGGGGCCTATGAAACTGTTTATGCTCTTTACATTCTTGAACAGGGTGATCCTTCTGCGGACAGCAGAATCTCATCGTTACAAAGGTGTGATTCTTTCTAATTTTTGTTGGTGGATTCATATTTTGTATAGAAATTACTTTTTCTTTTTACCTTTTGATTTTTTAGAGAAGTACTTGATAGTTGAAACGAACAAAGACATCAGCATTGTCACGCATAAAAGTGCAACAGCTGCCGGTGTCTTGCAGTCATTTATTCATGCACTAGTGGAGGCATACGAAATAGATGGTGATTCTGCGCATTCAGAAACCCAGACATGGATGGATAAAAGTTACGAAGTATTTCTTCTGAATCCAACTCAAAGCAGTTTATGTCAAATCTCCCTTTTGGATGGAGTAAGAGAAATAATTGTTAGAAAAGTCAGATAATTTTCACGAATCATCACGTACTTGCCTCTTTGCTGTCTCGTCTCCTTATAATTGTTGGCATAAGATTCAACGCCAAACCTAAGGAGAAACGGCCGGGTCATGTGACTGTCAACCGAATCTAACCCAGAGCTCGCATGTTGAAGGTGTAAATGATTTTTCACCTTACAGAAAGGAGTTGGCAAATGCAAATAGTTCAAGCTGAATGGATAGAACGAAGCATTCTTAGCCTCTTACTGACGAAGAACAATTGCTTATGCACACAGACCATAGTGTTGTGTGGGATGACATATTGTATGAGCAGTTCGTTTTTGTTTTGGGAAAGAGCACTCGTTTTTCTCACCTTCCCCTAATTCATTTTGCAGTTGAAGTCATTGGGATGGAAAACAGAAGGCCTTTTAACACCATCATTTATCTGGAGGGCTGACTGGATTTACAGTTCTGTCGATAAAAAAACTAGCTAGGTTCTTTCATCCGTCAGCTATTGGAACAAACAACGAAAGGGCGAAATGGTTAATTGCTTAATGGGCACCGGCATGCTTGTTAGGGAGCACAGAACTATGGGGCTAATGCATGGATTTAAATTACTTCCCGTGCTTTAATGTGTCTACCACTGATTAGGTATCAAGTCAACTATGTTTGGGTTTAATCATCCTGGTGCAAATATAGCAGTATGTGTCGAGGACCCCGCTGTAACTTGTGGTAGAGACAGAGATATGCAATTCTAGACCATCAAATCTTTTTTTTTTTTTTTTATCTATCCTACTCTAACTGTCCGCCTCTTTTTTTCGACTTTTGCTTTGTTTTTTTAAAGAGCGTGCGAGTCAAACACCACACTTAAAACTAAACATCTCCACCTCACCCAATTCCCTTGCCACTGGGCCGCGTGCCCAATGGGTCAGATCATCAACTCATTAGGAGTTGGAACTTTGCATTCTTTTTTAGTGCTGAGTTAAAAGTTCATGACCATGTATTACTTCTTGTTTCACCCTTTGATCTCGACCAACCAAAAGCAAAGTTTGGTCGGTTTTTATGTAGTTCTTCTTCCTTTGAGACCTACATCTGCTTGTGGATAATTTTTCATTCCTGTCCCCTTTTTTGTGGATGGGACCCTCCATGCATCCTACATAAGATGCATCTCCAATCATGCGAGGGATGTTCAGAACAAAGTATCGAACTTTCAGAATAAGCTGCTTGTTTACAGGAAACGAATCAATAATGGTTCATATGCAAGAGAAGGAGCCGCATGGAATGGCCTTGCCCTCTAGTAAGACAGCTATTGGTTGTTTGATTATAGCTTGACATCTCTCTGTGAATGTTTCTTCTTCATCCTTTATTACAAAAGCTCATTTGACATTAACTACTGGAACTTCCTCTCATGAAACAGACCAAACGCCTTTGATCTCCTGGAAATCCAGAACTTTGACAAAGTCGATGATGATTTAGTTTTTTAGACTAATTTTCATACAGCATATGATCCTTCAGAATGAACTCCCTAGTTGAGGCTTATTTAGCTTAAAATGGATATGAACTTTCAGAAAAAGGTATGTCAAAGTCAGTCGAAATGATTTTGTAGCTGTCCGAAGTTTAGAGCACATAAGTACACCAGGTCTTAGAATTCTCTAGGACTATGGTTAGCACGAAATATGGATGAAATGATTTTTTAACTAGACAGACAAGGAGTACTTCATACTAAACAGTGGAGACAGGAATCTCAGCTCCCTGGCTTCCCACTGGCAATTTTTTCTTCTTTCCCCAAGTTGCAGTATCGACAATTATTGAAAGCAATCTAAATACATTTATTCAACTGACATGACCAAGGGAAAGAAATTTAATGCACTACCAATCCGAACTGTGTTACAAAGCAAAAGAACTGAACTGACGGTCCATGACTAATAGATCCACGTCATGCTTGTCAACAGAAGAAATTTAGTTATATATTTTGGACATTCACTTCCCCTTCCTAATCAATGGGGATCAAGCCCCTGTCCTGGTATCTACTTGTAGTTTCTTTCCAACCCGGATTGCTTTGAGCCACCTCTTACCAAGACCAATCAATAAGTGATTGATTACGTACTGCTTTTGGCTTTCTTCCAATTGCTACATCCAGCCTTTTCATTATATATGGCCATCGAAACTCTGTTTACTAGGGCAATGTAGCAGTGGGGCTTATTTACGGTGCCCCGATGAGGCCATTAGGACTCCAACAGCCACAATGAACATAAACAGCATACCAAAAAGTAAAACATAGGTTTTCCTCGATGATCTGCGGTATTCTCCAAATATGATTACGCCCCAGAAGGTGCTCACAAGTGGAAGTGCCTGCATAATGCATCAGATTAAAAGTTAGAAAAAGAAAGAAAAGTCATAGCATGAAAATGTTATGGATTGTGTTTTTGACCAGGTTGGCTGAATAGATTCGGGATTTACTGTTAGTTCAGGCCACAAAAACTAGCAAAAGTTCGCTCTTTGTCCGGTGATCTCATGCTTTATCGATACAGACAAAGAAAAGAAGTCGGAAATGATTCTGAAATTAAAAACTGCATGGAGACTCGGTTCTCAGTTCAGACTAATTCTTTAACAGTTTGACCATGGACTGAAAAGTTAAACTCCTGCTCAAGTCAATTCTTTAATCGGATGGATCCTTTGGTGCCCTCTAACCTGGTCAACTAACCTGAACAGCATCTGCTGCTGCATAGCCTGCAGCTTGACCACCCATAAACTGCAGACCATTTCCAAATCCACACAAAAGCCCCGCCAAGAGAGCCCATCCTCTGCCATTCCAATCGTTCAAATAAGCCTTGAATGATGTTTTGGGTAGATTGAGCACCGGCCGGTAAAGGAAGCTGATATTTAGAATGATGGCCACAATGAAGCACGATACAGAGAAATAGAAGAATGCTGTATATACAGACAAGTGAGGAACCCCTTCCTTCAGCGTGTGCCACTGGTCGTTTGTTGCCAAATTAAATGCTGGTGAGAAAAGAGAGAAGCAAAATCCAGCAAAGAAAGTTATGCTCAGTCCAAGTATGGCGCTTCTTCCAAACACCTACAAGAAGAATAAATATGCATTTCAATTATAGAAATGGAGAAACGCTAACACACTCCAATGTCATGATGCCAATGGTTTCGGAAGATGAAAAAGATATTAAACAAATTTGTTCCACAAGCATAGTTGAAGTGGTTTCACGAGCCTTGATAGATCTTCTGTTCTCTACTTCGACCAGAAAATCAGCAGTCCCAACTTCTGCCTTTTCTGTGGATTCATTCCCATTTTCTACATCTTTTGGCCCTGTTATGCAAACGTCATAAGTTAGGCTACAAATTTTCTAGCTCGTTGGATTAGAGAAGCAGTCATCACTCCAGAAAGTCTCTCACCTTCATTCGCTGTTGTGCCATTATATACATAAATAGCCCTGAGGAAGATGTAAAACAATTGCATCATACATCATCTCTACGTGAAAAGGCTATAACAGTTGTCCTAAAAATTAAAGTAATCGACACCAATAGAAGTTTCGAAACTAACAACATACATCAAAGAATAATCTCCAAATAAAAAATCCATTCACCTGCAAAAGTTCACTTTTTCTTTGCATAAGTAGGCCAACCAGGGATTTCATATTAATTCCACATATATAGCCTTTTATTTCCTTCATTTATGTGAAAAAGTGACGAAGGAGAGCAAACATGTAGGAGAGATGGAGTAGTTTGAAAGAAATGCTTAAATAAATCTTCATTTGGATGCTGAGTCTACTTTGGACTGAAAAAATCCCCTATCAAATACTGATTAATCTTTCAAAGTCCCGACAGTTACGAAATAAAATTGATCAGTTCACACATTTGAGTTTACTCATGCTTTTAATCTATAAACAAGCAGATGTACCTGGCGTCCACTTTGCCATTGCCTAGAAGATTGTTCAGCTTTCTTCTATTATCAGCAGCATTTGATGCGTGAACAGCAGAGCCAAGACAAACTGCAATCAGGAAGCAACCAACTCCCGGGAAAAGAATCTCCGCTCTGTTTATTTTGCCATCCAGAAAGTAATTCAGGGTCGTGCCTGAGCAAAAGAATAGAATAAAAGAAATCAGAGGGATGTTAGTTGTGTCACTCCTATTCATGCAATTCCTGGAGATAAAGTCGAATCTGTTTATATGGAGAGACATTCATTCTGACATGTGCAGTTGTACATTATGTATGCATAAATTTTGGATCGATGCTTCAAGGACAAATTGTCTAAACTATATGAAAGACTCAATAAATCTAGTTGTTGAGTTTAGTTCATACAACCAAATTAATTCTTGCCATATCAGTTGATGAATAAATCTTTGTAAATTTTTTCCGTACATCGCGCATTTCTCTATATAACTACACATATTCATCACTGGCACAAATACAAGTAAAGGGAGAGTGAACATGAAGAGACCTATGACGACTGTTATGCTGCAAGTGACGACTTCTGTTACTGACAAACCAACAAAAGCCCATGCATATTGGGTTGCAAGATTCCCGAGGCTAAGAACAATGCCACCCGCCATTGCAAATAGAACCGATGACCAATTATCCTGCATCAATCAACTTACAGATATTAAAACTAGATGAAGTAACGTCGTCCTGCAACGTCACATGCGTGACCGTGTATATTGCTTCTGCACTCTTGATAGGTCAGGAGATAGAATTGTAGTATGGATATCATGGTATGGATGAACGACATATAACAAAAGTTAGTTTTCATGGGACATTGGGTGTGGTAAAGTGAGGATGAACCATCGAAATACAAATGGATTAGTCTTGAAACCATTTCAAGGATGACATCAGAATGAATTACACCCGAAACTGATCAGCAAATAGACTGCTTTATCCAGGCATCTACACTTAACCGGGCTTCTCTAGCTGTACGTGATACCAAGCGTTTGAAATAAAATCCAAAGCTTTACACCAACTCAGTACTTCTGTTCATGACCAGAAAGTGAAGTGAGATGACATGTCCGAGCCGGACTCCTCTTATTCAAACTAAGATGCTACATTAGAAATGAATGAAAGCTTTCTCTGTCAATAAATGGAGATATACAACCAAAGTATAAGTAAATTTTCAAAAGCACCACCAATCTCAACCAGACTTGCAATTATGCATGAACCACAACGAACTGCAAATAATGATTATAACTATTAATCCAAAAGGCCTCACTTTTTTTTTATACTTTCACTGATCAGTAACGCTAGCTGGTTCAGTATTCATCAAAGTACAAGACTCTTTCTTTCTTTTCCATTTCATCATTGTAATTGCGAAGTATATAACGGGACTTGCCATGTCTTTCACTTGATCGGGTAGAAATCGCTGCCTATTCCCCTCGTATATGTGCTTCTACTTAAGCCTTTCTTCTTTTTCCTTCTAATATACATTCCATCAACCTCGAATAACAGAGGAAGTCAAAAAACTCACCTGAGAAAGTTGCTGCAAGAAATTCGGCGCCTCTGGTGTTCCTGCGCGGATCTCGCCAAATGTGAAAGCAATAATCACAGCAGCCAAGAGATTGGTGATCGTGTAATCAAGGTAAGTGTGCTGCGGAAGGCGGCCTCGCCTTTCGAGAAGAGTCAATATAGCAGGCCAAGTGCCCAAGAAGAAGAGGGAGAGCAACATGCACCCGATCGCACCTCCTTTACTCTCCACCAGATACATTGTTAAAGAGCTCGGTTGCCCCTGGAAATGGAAAACACTATGATGACTGGAGTTCCTTGAAACTTCCGGCCGAGCTCTTGGAATCACTTTCCGGGGACACCCAAGAAGCCAAAAAATCAAGAATCGGAACACCCGACCGAACAATCACGAGCCCGGAATCTCCCTGCCGAGCTCTCGGGATCCGCTAGTGTTTATCTACAGCACAATGAAGAAGGACCCAACACCCTCCGTGGCGTGATGATCAGAGATTCAGGTCCCGAAATGCAATGCAAGCCCCCTGAAGATTCGAAAGAGGGGGAGAGATTCTTATATGGCTCTGCAGCTGCTTAGCTGGATACTGTTGTGTTGAGCATTCCGTCCAAGGAATCTCCCTTCACCTGGGGTCTGATTCAGTACCCAGCTAAGGAATCCTAAACAAGGATTCTTTCCTGATTCGAAATCTTCCTTAGAGAGGGGGGGTTCGTGCTGTGGTTCCCGACTTTTGCGCGCTGTTCATCGCCCGCCAATGAAGGGAGGAGAGAGAGATTGGTCTTCCTAATAATTCGGGAGATTCGGTCAACGCGCGGGATGGATTTGCTTTCCGAGTGGGGGGAACGACGTCGGATGCAACTGATCTAAAGACCACATGCAACATATGATACGACGTGGCGGTAATCATAAAACTAATACTATGTGTGATGTGCGTGCTGTGTATTTTTTAGATTTTCTTTTGGGTAAAAATAGAAGACTGCCTAATTTATATGATGACCTAAACTAAACTGGGTAATAATTTATATTAAATCCTAGTCTAAATTAGGTAACTCATGAATCCTAAAATATTGAGTTCTAAATTAAGGCCCTGTTCATTTCAAGGAAAATAATTTTCAAAAAACGTTTTTTGGATTTTCTAGCATTCGGTTCGCGAAAAATAAATTAGTTAAGGAAAACATTTTCCACCAATGAAAGAAAAAACACCTCCAAAAGCGCAAAACATTTTTCATCATCTTTCTTTCAACTTATCACTTTTTTTCACCAAACACTTTTTTCCCTTTATTTTTACTTTTTATTTCCTTTTAAAAAAATCGAGTTTTCTATTGTTTTTATTTTTTTTCTCTTGTTTTGCTTCTTCCTTGGCAGTTGCGCGACCACTGCAGCGGCCGGCGACCGACCACAAGCCGGTGAGACTTGAGCTTGCTAGATTCTGACGAGCTCGAGCCCCGTCAGAATCTGGCAAGCTCAAGCCTTATTGCCCTGTGGTGAGGCTCGAACTCACTTGTGGCCAGTCGCCGACAACCGGCAGAGGAAGAAGCAAAAAGGAAAAAAAAAAAGTAAAGAAAATTAAAAATAAAAATAAATTAAAGATAAAAAAAAATCAAAATTTTTTTGTAATTTTCTCCAAAAAATCAAATCAAATATCAAACGGCGAAAAATATTTTTTAGTTTATTTTCAAATTTCAGCCGAACATCGAAAAATATTATCATTTTCCTATAAAATGACTTCTCAGAAAATATTTTTCAGAAAATGTCATATTTTTCGCAAAACGAACGGAGTCTAAAAAATTTAGATGAATGCAATCTATCCCAAATGCAATGTAAATTTTTGTGCATTTTTGTAAAATAAGAATGTTTCGTAGACAACATGTGATGATCATATGTGTAATTTTCTCTAACCTCAATTGGGAACCCACCTTTTAATTGTCAACCCCCTCTGTGAAGGAGCCTTAATGAGTTTATATAGAATTACAAGAATAAGGAATATCCTAGCTTCCTATTTTGGATTATGTCGTTTTTCTTATTAGGAAATTAGGATACTCTCTTTCTTACTAGGAAATGAGGATAGACTCTCTTTATTATTTCAAAATTGGTAAAGATAATAACATTATTATTCCAAAATATGATTAAAGATCCAAATCAAGCACTCCCCATCTGCCAATCTTACAATTTTTTACCATCATGAGAGAATAATGGGCTTGGCCGAACTTGTTCCTCTCGCGGGCTTGGTTAGAATATATAATTAAGCTCAGAGCCTCTTTGTCTAAATCCATTTAGCTCCAATCCAATTAAAAAACAATTCATGTGGGCTCATTACTATTAGGATGCTCCTAATATACAAATACAAATTAATAACATTTTTATTTTTGGGTCGGGGTGTACTCCTAATTTTCCAATGCAATGATTGACTAGATGAGTTTTCAAAATTTAGGTGTCAATAGATAATTTTGCTATTTTCAGTTACCTTAAGGGTTATCCTAATCGCACTTGAGAACAAGATTCTCTTCATTCAATTTTAGCCATTGGAGCTTCAATAACTTCTATGGGAAAATTCCAAATGCACAATTTATCGATGGCCATTTACATACATTGATTTTTTTTTAAAGTACCAAACACATGTGAGTTTTATGTTTGGCTACCACTTTGCACCTTCGTATCAAATTATCATTGCGTTCCTATTTACGAGAATGCCATCGAAAAATACACATCCTCCCATCCTAGATTTTCAAACCCACAAAAAGCACTCAAAACCAATCAAAAGCCAAATCACTCGAACCATAAGCAAGATGCCAAGACGAATTTGCAAGGAGGGTAATTTGATTTCTTCAATGTGGGAATTTATTTAGAAAAAATGGTTAACGGTACCTATAATAATAGGTATATGTAAGTGGTCATTAAGTGAAAAGTCACGAGCTTTCTTTTTAGTGATATCCTCGCAGTTTCGATATGGGCTCAGCCTGTTTAGTTATTGGGGGTTCAAGCCCTTAAAAAGGAGAAAATATTCAATGATCAGATATTGCCAAGTCAGCAACTGATATGGCATGTATGTTTTTTATTTCCAGCCACTCACAACTTGACACATGTTCATGTTGCCACTTTAGTGGCTGACGTGGAAATAAATAAAAATTTAATCCTTTTTTCTCTCTCTTTCATTCTCCTCCATCCAGCTACCTCTTGATAGACAAACAACACCGATGACGGTGTCTCTTGAGGTCGCGCGACCCGAGGCGACCGTGTTATAGAACCTCCCATTGCAATTGCCACTAGTGAAGTCGTCGGCGTCACGTCCAAGCCTGGAAAAACAAATGGGAGATAGATTTGCTAGTTACATCTCAATCCAAATTAAGCAAAAGCATGTCGAAGTTTTTCATCTTTTTTATTTTTTTGTGGTTACATTTTCCTTTTCTGGGCAGAAGGAAATGAACTTCAAGGAGGATTGAGCTCTAGTTCTACACTGATAAGACTCACCATTCAAAGCCCAGCCCATACCATGCTGGGCCGATGGAAGCCACTCGCATCTACCTGGGCCCGGCCCATGAAACCGGACCTGCATCCCCCAATCCTCACTATAAAAGCGAAGATGTGGAGAGCTAGGGTTTCTGGTCTGCTCGGCATCTCCGCAACTCCATCTCTCAGCTCGGGTACACCCCCGCGTCCGCTCGCCCGCCGTCAGCGAAGATGGTAACAGTCGTTCTCCCTTGCTCTCTCTCGCTCTTTGCGTACATGGGATGGCTGAAAGTTTTGGTTTTGTGTTCTGGGTTGTCTGTGGAAACGGTGATGAGCGGATGTCTCTGTCGGCTTAACTTGTGCTCTGTTTTTTTCGGTCTGTAGCCGTCGCACAAGACGTTCAGGATCAAGAAGAAGTTGGCGAAGAAGATGAGGCAGAACAGGCCCATCCCACACTGGATCCGCATGAGGACCGACAACACCATCAGGTTCGATCTTCTCGCCGTCGCTTTTCATTTGTCTGTTGTCGTCAATCGGTGATATGAGAGAGTCGAGTAGTGATTAGAGCGGTTTCGGCTTCGATTCCAGGTACAACGCGAAGCGCAGGCACTGGCGCCGCACCAAGTTAGGATTTTGAGGAGGGTTAGACGTAATTTGAGCTTATTTTTATTGAAAAAGATGGAGATTTTTACTTCATTTGCAAGACTGTGGACGAGGTTTATGTTTGATTTGGAGTTCAGTGGATGGAAGTTACGTTTTTGAGCAAGTTGAATTGTAATGACATTTTCCTATATCATTGTCGACTGGGTTTTTCTCTTTCGTTTATTTTGATGTTGTTAATGTTAATCCTGAGTCGTGTAGTTATCTTCTCTTGCCCTGTCGTGAGTGGTGTTATAGTTCAGATGGAGGAGGGGAGGCGCTTTCGGCTTTTGTTACCCCCTCATGGCTCCCTGCTTCTGTGCCCGTTAGTTTTTCCATGTCGAAACTATGCGACAGCAGATCGAACCTTTCTTATCATGTCCCTTGGCCTAAGTTAACGAAATTAACGGGAAATTAGATCCGTATTGCTGAGATGTAGTTTGCCTTCGATTGTCCCGGCATACCGCCAAAGTAGCGTTTGAATTCTGGTGGGTGCGCAGTTGCACGGGTGGTTCCTGTGGATGTCGTGTGTTTGTTAAATTGGATAGCGTTTGCTCTGATGGCATTAGGTGTGGTGTGAATTCTTTCGCGTGCACCGGCACGGGTGCTAGGTGATTGTTCTCCTTGGTAAGGTAAATTTGTTCAGTGGTATGAGGGATTCGGTTGTTCCCCCGAATTTGAGTTTGAGCGTACTGTATCGGGGTAATACGATACAGGATTTTGGGGCTTTCTTGGTGACAAGATACCGTTTACTTTACGTGTTGCAATGTTTCATGTATGTGTCATCAAGTATCCCCCGTGTTTGGATGAATAATCAGAGGTTGGGCTGATCAGCTCAACTCTACTGCAACCCATTCTTGCATGGTGGTGAGAATTGGCAAAGTGAGCGATTTTGGTTCTTACGCTTCTTCCTTCGACTGAGGTTACTCTATTTTTTTTTTGGAAAAAGCTACAAAAAAAACCTCAAGCTATGACACAGTTACCTTTTTTGTGACATAAAAAAACTCAAAATATACCTAATATGACAAATTTACTCTAAACTTGTATTTATGTGACACATTAAACTTTTGTCGAGATATTTCTTAATTAAAACGTCGTTTTTATTTTATTTAGATAACGTGGGCACTGTTTGAGGCAAATTTTTAAAGTTCTCATTAACAAAACTTTAATGGATTGTAAATGTGTTATAGGTACAAGTTTGGAATTTTTGGTGTCATGCAAAAAAAGTAGTTTAGGTTAAATATGTTATAGCAGACGTAGTATAGAGTTTATGATGACTTTTGCCTCTTTTTTTATTACCATAACCTACCGTTTGACATTGAATCTTGTGGCCTCCTCTTCGCGAAGGAGAAAGGCATGCTCGAGCCGGAGAGTGTTTGATGCTGAATGTGCACATTGCGCGATTGGAAATGGCGTCTAAAACATCTTCCTGGAATACTTAAAACAACCTTATTGGTCAAATTGCAAAAATATTGCTTTATCACTGTTAAGTTCATGACCACTACCAAAGAATGTAAGACACTATTGTCTCACGGGCAGACTTTCCAGAAGAAATTGCAAGTAAAACTGAGGAGCTTTTGTGCGCCAAACAAGGATGTAACTTAAAGGTTGATATTAGGGAAAATTTCAAATAAGGGCATGAAGTGAACCTTGTGAATCTCATTTTCTCAAATAACGGCTTGAAGTGGCTATAATAATTTCAAATAAAGGCCTGACCCCGCCGGCCGGCCAAATTTTTCGGCCAGTCAAGGGCATTTTCATCCAAAAATAATTTTAATATAATTTTGAGTTAAATTAAATTTTAAAAAAAAGTTTTTTTTTTGAAAAAAAAAAAAACAAGGGGAAGGGGCTAGCCCTTCCTTGCTTGTGGTCGCCGCCCCATAGTTGGTGGGGTGGCAGCCAGGGCTGATAGGGTTACTGACGACTCAGTGAGGGCTGGCAACCCTCACCAACCAGAGGTGAGAGCCTGGTGGCCCTGGCTAGAACCGGGAGGCCCTGGCTAGAATCGGGAGGGTCGGGTGACCCTCGCTCCAGTTTGGGTGAGTGTCACCGGCCCTTGCCCAAGTCTGCGGGAGGGCCGCTGGCCCTCGCACAGGTCTAGCGGCCCTCTCCCAGACCTGGGCGAGGGCCGGCGACGCTTGCCCAGACCGGGGCAAGGGTTGGCGCCCCTCGCCCAAGTCTAGGAGAGAGACGCCTGACCCTCCCGTGGTGGCCCTCGCCTCCAGTCGGCAACCCCGCCATCCATGGCCGCCGCCCCACCGACGATGGGGCGACTGCCATTGGCGAGGTAGTGCTCCCTTTTGTTTTTTTCAACTTTAGCTTCTTTTTTTAAGTTTGTTTTTTATGGAAAAGAAAAAAAAATTAAAAGACGAAAATGCCTTGACTCCGGTGAGGTTATACCTTTTTTTGGACTGAGATGACCACTTCAAACCCTTATTTGAGACAAAATTTACTTTAGGCCTTTATTTGAAAAAATGAAGAGCATTTCAAGCACTTCTTTGACAAGGCTCACTTCAAGCTCTTATTTAAAATTTCGCTCAACACCTTTCACGTGCTCTCTCGAATGTGCTAACCTCACGGATAACATTTATAGAGGAAGTCATGTATGAAATTCATTACTTGTGCAGTCATGGCATTGACACTAAAAGGAAATTACAAACGTACATTTATCAACCGTTCTAGCCAGTGCCAGTTTTGAAGTTGGTGCCACACTTCTCACACTTGTAATCCCACTTCCCCACAACTCAAAAGACATGACTGAGGCAACACAACCAAACTAAAAGAACACCCGAAAGTTGGGACTTGTTTTCGCAGGGCCTTATGTGTCTGAGATGCCATCTCTGGAGGCTACCCTAGACACCTCCTTAGACACATTCTGCAAAAAGTTCCCCAGCAACCTCTGGTCCAAAACCATATTCGGTACCTGCAGGCAGAGCCATTGGCGAAGCTTAGAGAGAGAGAGAGAGAGAGAGAGAGAGAGAGAGAGAGAGAGAGAGAGAGAGCTTCATACCTTGTCCCCAAAGAAAATCTTGGTGTTACCAGCAATTGCCTCTATGAATTTCAGCTCAAGAAACTGAGGTGTGAGCTTCAACTTGTTTGCTTCGGCTTCCTTCAATAGACTGTGCATCAAAAGCACATAACAGCAGTCAATTACGATCTTTTTTGGTCAACAATCAACAGTGCTAAAGAGAAGAGGATAATCTCACCGATAGAAATCGGCATCTGCCAGACTCTTCTCACGAGCCAGATACATTTGGTTCTCTATTTCCTGCTGCCTTCTGGCACTGTCTTTCTCCATTAACTTTTGTTCCATGACTATCTTGCTAACATTGGCATTCTTTTCAGCTTCACTTATAGCCATCTTCTTCATTGTGTCTGCTTCTTTCTCAGCAACCTTTTGTTTCTCAATAGCAATTAAGACCTGTACAGAGCACCTTGGTCATGGACTTCTACTCATTCAACCAATGTAGAATTCCTAGGTACTATAATTATTATTTTGTTTTAAACAACAACTTAGCAATCAAGAACTCTTTTTTTTTTAGAATCAGTGTACCTTTGTACGCTCCTCTTCCATCTGCTCAAAATTGCGCCTTATACTTTCTGGAATAGCAGGCTTAGTTACACGGACACTAATTATTTCAATGCCTGGGGCATATCTAGTGCAATCACCTTGAAGAGCATCTTTCATCTTTTCATCGATCTATAAATGTTTAACTCGACAGTTTGGTCAATGAATCCATATTAATTTAAGCCAGCACGTAGATGGCATTTAGTAAACAATGGAAATTGTATAACAAAGATAAGAAACATCCCCTTCAGATAGTATGGCTGCAGGAAAAACAAAGATATATAGGACACCCGGTCATAAGGCCCAGGTGAAACCACCATAAGGAAAGACCTAGTGTGCGGATGACATGTTGCCTGGTAATTGTAAGTGCTCTGTCCACTCTCGGTCTAGATGCAGGATGCATTGATAGTATCAAGGATACCCGGTAAAAAGGCCCAGGTGAAACACTATAAGGAAAGAGCCAGTGAGCAGGCGACATGTCCCTTGGTAAATGTAAGTGCTCTCTCCACTCTCCGTCTATATGCAGGATGCCTGGATAGTATCCTCGCTTACCTGATCAAACACATCAATGTAAACTTGCTGCAGGGAATGAGAACTGCAGAACTGATTGATTTCATGATGGATCTTGTCATAAATCCAAGTGTTGTCATATTGCACTCCGTAATTGAGCAGTGTCTCATACACATAATCCTTGCGGAGGCGATTAACAACCTGTAATAGCCAATGCACAAGTTAGAAAAGACATCACGGTACACACATAAAGTTAAACAACTCAAAAGACTTGCCTCTATTTTCTCAAAATTTATCATAACACCTCCTTTAGTGCCACATGGAATATCCCTCACCTGCATATAGGGACCCAGAAAAGGAAATGCAAGCCGAAATAAACATTAAGTCGCAAGAAATTACATAGCTATATACAAGCAAACAGCCGTATGCATGGAAACTGGAAGCACAACCTGATCTGTCTGGAGGGTCACTTGAACAGGCTCATAGTGAGTTACGAAGGGCATCTTTAGATGAAAGCCTGAAAGATAAAGATGAGCACCGCAAGAATCCAATGAATCCTATGCCAGCAAGCATGGATCAAAAACCTTTAGCCAAAAGAGGTGCACAGCCGTACCTGGATCTGTAATCGTTTTAAGTAGCGCACCACCTCTCCAATATACACCAACATGGCCTTCTGGCACTTGATGAAGAATACTAAAGCTGTTTTTGAAGCTTGACGAGGATGGAATAAGGATCTGTAATTAAGCCATGATACACTGTTAGTCTCTCATGAACACCACCAATTGAAGCACATATTCTAGCTTGACAAAGCTTTATCATTTTTCAACAAATACTGTGACATGCTGCAAGAGTGTCTGAAAACCGAAACCAAAAGAGATTAAAAGTACTGCTTCCACTTCAACATAGAATGACAAAGTATTCACTTTTCAACTTTTTTTTCCTTTCGTTTTCTTCCGTATTGCTGAGATGTAGTTTGCCTTCGATTGTCCCGGCATACCGCCAAAGTAGCGTTTGAATTCTGGTGGGTGCGCAGTTGCACGGGTGGTTCCTGTGGATGTCGTGTGTTTGTTAAATTGGATAGCGTTTGCTCTAATGGCATTAGGTGGGGTGTGAATTCTTTCGCGTGTACCGGCACGGGTGCTAGGTGATTGTTCGACTGTATCGGGGTAATACGATACAGGATTTCGGGGCTTTCTTGGTGACAAGATACCATTTACTTTACGTGTTGCAATGTTTCATGTATGTGTCATCAAGTATCCCCCGTGTTTGGATGATCTGATTACAGAGGTTGGGCTGATCATCTCAACTCTACTGCAACCCATACTTGCATGGTGATGAGAATTGGCAAAGTGAGCGATTTTGGTCCTTTCGCTCCTTCCTTCGACTAATGACTATTTTTTTTTTTGGAAAAAAAAACCTCAAGCTATGACACAGTTACCTTTTTTGCGACATGAAAAAACTCAAAATATACATAATATGACACATTTACCCCAAATTTGTATTTACGTGACACATTAAACCTTTGTCGAGATATTTTTTTATCAAAACGTCATTTTTATTTCATTTAGATCATGTGGGCATTGTTTGCTTAATGTCGTTTATGTAGGCAAATTTTTGAAGTTCTCATTAATAAAACTTAAATGGATTGTAAATGTGTCACAGGTATAAGTTTGGAATTTTTGGTGTCATGGAAAAAAAGTTTAGGTTAAATATGTTATAGCAGACGCAGTATAGATTTTATGGTGGCTTTTGCCCCTTTTTATATTACCATAACCTACCGTTTGACATTGAACCTTGTGGCCTCCTCTTCACTAAGGAGAAAGGCATGCTCGAGCCGGAGAGTGTTTGATGCTGAATGTGCACATTGCGCGATTGGAAATGGCATCTAAAACATCTTCCTGGAATACTTAAAACAACCTTATTGTTCAAATTGCAAAAATATTGCTTTATCACTGTTAAGTTAGTGACCACTACCAAAGAACGTAAAGAACGTAAGACGCTGATTGTCTCACGGGCAGACTTTCCAGAAGAAATTGCAAGTAAAATTGAGGAGCTTCTGTGCGCCAAACAAGGATGTAACTTAAAGGTTGATATTAGGGAAAATTCCAAATAAAGGCATGAAGTGGATCTTGTGAACCTTATTTTCTCAAATAATGGCCTGAAGTGGCTATAATAATTTCAAATAAAGGCTTGACCCCCCTGGCCGGCCAAATTTTTTGACCAATCAAGGGTATTTTCGTCCAAAAATAATTTTAATATAATTTTGAGTTAAATTAAATTTAAAAAGTTAAAAAAAAAAAAAAAAACAAGACCCTCCCTAACCTGTGAACGCCGCCCCATAGCTAGTGGGGCGACAGCCATGGCTAACAGGGTTGCTGACGCCTCAATGAGGGCTGGCAACCCTCGCCAACTAGAAGCAAGAGCCTGGTGGCCCTAGCCAGAACAAGGAAGGTCGGGCGACCCTCTCCCAGGCCCTCGCCCCAGTCTGGGCGAGTGTCGCCGGCCCTCGCCCAAGTCTGCGGGAGGTTTGCCAGCCTTCGCCCAGGTTTGCGGGAGGGCCGCCAGCCCTCACACAGGTCCGGCGGCCCTCTCCCAGACTTGGGCGAGGGCCGGCGATGCTTGCCCAGACTGGGGCAAGGGCCAGTGCCCTCACCCAGATCTGGGAGAGGGTCGCTCGACCCTCTCGTGGTGGCCCTCACCTCTGGTTGGCGACCCCGCTAGCCATGGTTGTCGCCCCACCGACGATGGGGCGGCGGCCATTGGCGGGGAGAGCTCCCTTTTGTTTTGTTTTATTTTTTTTTTAACTTTAGCTTGCTTTTATGGGAAAAAAACCCAAAAAGAAAAAAAATCAAAAAAATTAAAAGTCGAAAATGCCTTGACTTTGGTGAGATTAGACCTTTTTTTAAACAAAGATGACCATTTCAAAGCCTTATTTGAGACAAGATTCACTTTAAGCCTTTATTTGAAAAAATGAGAACATTTCAAGCCTTTATTTAACAAAGTTCACTTTAGGCCCTTATTTGAAATTTCACTTAACACCTTTCACATGCTCTCTCCAATGTGCTAACCTCACAGATAACATTTATGGAGGAAGTCATTTATGAAATTCATTACTTGTGCAGTCATTGCAGTGACACTAAGGTAGCGAATGATAACCATTCTGTTCCGGAATGAGTTCCTGAACCAGAAATAGATTTTTCTATTTCTGGTTCTTGGATGAGTTTCTGAGAAAAAAAACCCGTTTGATAATGACAAAAAATTTCTATTTCTAGAACAGAAACCCGTTTGATAACAGCACAAAATTTCTATTTCCTGAAATAAAAACCCGTTTGATAAACAACAGAAAATTCTATTTCCAGGAACAAAAATCCATTTTTTTAGAAATGGAATAAAAATAATAAAAAATCCGAAAAATTCATAAAAATCTTTAAAAAATTACAGAAAAATCCCAAAAAATTGAAAAATTCCAGAAAAAATCATCAAAATGTCGAGAAAATAAAAAAATTTTAGATTTCGGGAAAATAGGAAATTTGTTGAATTTTTTCAAAAAAAATCAAGAAATCAAAAATTTCAAAACTTCACAGAATTACTTAGAATACCTGTGGCCACCCACTTTTAGTGAAATTTAAATTTTTTTAGGTGCCCAAAAAAAATCAAAAAATCAAAAATTTCAAAACTTCACAGAATAGTTTAGAATACGTGTGGCCACCCACTTTGAGTGAAATTTAAATTTTTTAAGGTGCCCAAAAAAATTCAAAAACTCAAAAATTTCAAAACTTTACAGAATGGCTTAGAATACCTGTGGCCACCCACTTTGAGTGAAATTTTAATTTTTGGAAGTGAAAAAAAATCAAAAAATAAAAAATTTCAAAACTTCACATAATGACTTAGAATACATGTGGCCATCCACTTTGAGTGAAATTTAAATATTTTTAGGTGAAAAAAACATAAAAAGTCAAAAATTTCAAAACTTCACAGAATGACTTAGAATACATGTGGCCATCCATTTTGAGTGAAATTTAAATATTTTTAGGTGAAAAAAAACATAAAAAATCAAAAATTTCAAAACTTCACAGAATGACTTACAATACCTCTAGCCACCCACTTTGAGTAAAATTTAATTTTTTTTAGATGCCCAAATGGTATTTTTGATTTTTTTTTGATTTTTTTTGGTTCCTAAAGAAAATTAAATTTCACTCAAAGTGGATGGCCACATGTATTATAAGCCACTCTGTGAAGTTTTGAAAATTTTTCTTTTTTGCTTATTTTAATTTTTTTTTCGACACCTAAAAAAAATTAAATTTCACTCAAAGTGGGTGGCCACAGGTATTCTAAGCAATTATGTGAAGTTTTTTATTTTTTTCGGCACCTAAAAAAATTTAAATTTCGCTTAAAGTGGATGGCCACAGATATTCTAAGCCATTTTGTGAAGTTTTAAATTTTTATTTTTTTATTTTTTTCGGCACCTAAAAAAATAAAATTTCGCTCAAAGTTGGTGGCCACAGGTATTTTAAGCCATTCTGTAAAGTTTTGAAATTTTTACTTTTTTGCTTATTTTTATTTTTTTTGGCATATAAAAAAATTTAAATTTCACTCAAAGTGGGTGGCCACAGGTATTTTAAGCTATTCTGTGAAGTTTTGAAATTTTTTATTTTTTTCGGCACCTAAAAAAATTTAAATTTCACTCAAAGTGGATGGTCACAAGTATTCTAAGCCATTCTGTGAAGTTTTGAAATTTTTGATTTTTTGCTTTTTTTTTTTTTATTTTTTTGGGCACCTAAAAAAATAAAATTTCGCTCAAATTGGGTGGCCACAGATATTCTAAGATATTCTGTGAAATTTTTAAATTTTAGAATTTTTTATTTTTTTTTGGCAACTAAAAAAATTAAATTTTGCTCAAAGTGGGTGACCATAGGTTTTCTAAGCCATTTTATGAAATTTTTTATTTTTTATTTTTATTTATTTTTTTCGGTACCTAAAAAAATTTAAATTTCACTGAAAATGGGTAGCCACAGATTCTAAACCATTCCGTTAAGTTTTGAAATTTTTGATTTTTTACTTTTTTTTCTCACCTCAAAGATCGTGACTTCCATATGAATATGTGTGTTGAAGAAAATGAATTCCTCAGAAATGGTTCTCACTTTTGTTCCAGAAATGAAAAATCAACTTTTTTTTTGTTCTCATTTCTGGTTTCAGAATCAGTTTTGGAAGCAAACTTGTCCCAGAAATAGAAAAATGAAATTACGTTACCAAACGGGTTTCTGGTCCAAAACTGATTCTGAGAACAAAAAATCAGTTCTGGACAAAATCAGAATGGTTTTCATGCCACACCTAAAAGGAAATTACAAACGTACAAATATCAACCATTCTATCCGGTGCCAGTTTTGAAGTTGGTGCCACACGTCTCACACTTGTAATCCCACTTTCCCACAACTCAAAAGACATTACTGAGGCAACACAAAAACAAACTAAAAGAACACCGGAAAGTTGGGACTTGTTTTCGCAGGGCCTTATGTGTCTGAGATGCCATCTCTGGAGGCTACCCTAGATACCTCCTTAGACACATTCTGCAAAAAGTTCCCCAGCAACCTCTGGTCCAAAACCATATTCGGTACCTGCAGGCAAAGCCGTTGGCGAAGCTTAGAGAGAGAGAGAGAGAGAGAGAGAGAGAGAGAGAGAGAGAGAGAGAGAGAGAGAGCTTCATACCTTGTCCCCAAAGAAAATCTTGGTGTTACCAGCAATTGCCTCTATGAATTTCAGCTCAAGAAACTGAGGTGTGAGCTTCAACTTGTTTGCTTCGGCTTCCCTCAATAGACTGTGCATCAAAATCACATAACAGCAGTCAATTATGATCTTTTTGGTCAACAATCAACAGTGCTAAAGAGAAGAGGATAATCTCACCGATAGAAATCGGCATCTGCCAGACTCTTCTCACGAGCCAGGTACATTTGGTTCTCTATTTCCTGCTGCCTTCTGGCACTGTCTTTCTCCATTAACTTTTGTTCCATGACTATCTTGCTAACATTGGCATTCTTTTCAGCTTCACTTATAGCCATCTTCTTCATTGTGTCTGCTTCTTTCTCAGCAACCTTTTGTTTCTCAATAGCAATTAAGACCTGTACAGAGCACCTTGGTCATGGACTTCTACTCATTCAACCAATGTAGAATTCCTAGGTACTATAATTATTATTTTGTCTTAAACAACAACTTAGCAATCAAGAACTCTTTTTTTTTTTAGAATCAGTGTACCTTTGTACGCTCCTCTTCCATCTGCTCAAAATTGCGCCTTATACTTTCTGGAATAGCAGGCTTAGTTACACGGACACTAATTATTTCAATGCCTGGGGCATATCTAGTGCAATCACCTTGAAGAGCATCTTTCATCTTTTCATCGATCTATAAATGTTTAACTCGACAGTTTGGTCAATGAATCCATATTAATTTAAGCCAGCACGTAGATGGCATTTAGTAAACAATGGAAATTATATAACAAAGATAAGAAACATCCCCTTCAGATAGTATGGCTGCAAGAAAAACAAAGATATATAGGACACCCGGTCATAAGGCCCAGGTGAAACCACCATAAGGAAAGAGCTAGTGTGCGGATGACATGTTCCCTGGTAATTGTAAGTGCTCTGTCAACTCTCAGTCTAGATGCAGGATGCATCGATAGTATCAAGGATACCCGGTAAAAAGGCCCAGGTGAAACACTATAAGGAAAGAGCCAGTGAGCAGGCGACATGTCCCTTGGTAAATGTAAGTGCTCTCTCCACTCTCCGTCTATATGCAGGATGCCTGGATAGTATCCTCGCTTACCTGATCAAACACATCAATGTAAACTTGCTGCAGGGAATGAGAACTGCAGAACTGATTGATTTCATGATGGATTTTGTCATAAATCCAAGTGTTGTCATATTGCACTCCGTAATTGAGCAGTGTCTCATACACATAATCCTTGCGGAGGCGATTAACAACCTGTAATAGCCAATGCACAAATTAGAAAAGACATCACGGTAAACACATAAAGTTGAACAACGCAAAAGACTTGCCTCTATTTTCTCGAAATTTATCATAACACCTCCTTTAGTGCCACATGGAATATCCCTCACCTGCATATAGGGACCCAGAAAAGGAAATGCAAGCCGAAATAAACATTAAGTCGACAAGAAATTACATAGCTAAATACAAGCAAACAGCCGTATGCATGGAAACTGGAAGCACAACCTGATCTGTCTGGAGGGTCACTTGAACAGGCTCATAGTGAGTTACGAAGGGCATCTTTAGATGAAAGCCTGAAAAATAAAAATGAGCACCGCAAGAATCCAATGAATCCTATGCCAGCAAGCATGGATCAAAAACCTTTAGCCAAAAGAGGTGCACAGCCGTACCTGGATCTGTAATCGTTTTAAGTAGCGCACCACCTCTCCAATATACACCAACATGGCCTTCTGGCACTTGATGAAGAATACTAAAGCTGTTTTTGAAGCTTGACGAGGATGGAATAAGGATCTGTAATTAAGCCATGATACACTGTTAGTCTCTCATGAACACCACCAATTGAAGCGCATATTCTAGCTTGACAAAGCTTTATCATTTTTCAACAAATGCTGTGACATGCGGCAAGAGTGTCTGAAAACCGAAACCAAAAGAGATTAAAAGTACTGCTTCCACTTCAACATGGAATGACAAAGTATTCACTTTTCAACTTTTTTTTTCCTTTCGTTTTCTTTTGGAAGAAAAATAAAGGCTTCTTTCGAACATGTTATGATACGAGCAGACACCGTGCACCAAACGACAACTTCTCCACAGCATGAGTCAGCAAGAGGCTGCTGCACAACACTAATTTGGAAAGCTTAGCTCAATTACAAACTTAGTTTCTCTAAGATTTCTTCTCATTTATTATTCTAGCATATTCCTCATCTCATCCATTGAATAGATGCAGAAAAAAACTGAACCAGTCACCAAAAGCTTCAACACAGACGCGTAAACTTTGCATGTGAATGCCTCAAACATGAGAAATTCCAGTTGCCCTTGGCTGATCAGAGTGTGTACTGTCAACATCGCGTATGATAATACATCAGAATGCCTCAAGAAATCTCCAAAACCTTCGCATACTTAATGGTATATCTTAAGAGTAATAATATTCTTCACCACATATTACTGCTGTGCAATAAGGAAACACCTGTAAGAACTTTCTATTGTTTCCCTTTCCTTAGTTTTAGCCTTATCATCATCTCTAATTCAGGAACTTAGATGGAAATGAGCCAGGTGCATTAGGTTAAGACTACATGGTCTAAATAGATTGAGACTAAACCCAAATCATGATGTCACTCAACAAGAGATTTGCCGACGAAGATGTAAACAAGTTTAAGAACCTTGAGACTCTAGAATATAACATCATGGGTGACTACAGTAAACCCTAAGCCACCTAGAACTCAACGAAAAACTTAGACATTCAAATCCAAGAAATATGGCGAAGTGGGTCTCAAATTTATCAGATGATCAGCATCTTAAGCGTCATTTCAGTGGAATGTTCGGTCATTAGTGCAACATTCTGTCACCATCTCTAGCAATTAACCCACAAAAGAGGCACGCCACTGTCAGTGACGGCAGTGAGAAACTCAAAAGGGTTTCCACTATACAGTACACACGAGTTACACAACCCTCGCCTAGCTATTTTAGCAACAAACAGAGAATCGTCGACATGATCGATGAAGCAACTGGGACCAAATTCAAACAGTAGATCTAGAGAAACCAGCAAGTGAAATGACAAGAGCTAGAAACAAGCACATGGAATCGCGGAAAGCATCAGAGAGGAACTACGGCAGTGCACATTTTGTGATCGCGAAAGTGTTTGTGAAAAGGCCTGAAAGAGCGAGCGAGCGACCGAGGGAGTGAGGGAGGGAGAGTTTAGGTACAAAGAGCGCGATGGCGACGAAGGACAAGAGGACGGTGAGAAAGCCTGAGCCTTGATCGGGAGGAGGGCGCTGCGGCTGCCGCTGCGGCTGCTGGTGTGGCTGCTGCTGCGGCTGCTGCTGCGGCGGCGGCGGCGGCGCCTGCGGCGGAGGATGCGCGACCGGCGGGGAAGGCGGGGTTTGATTCGATGGGTCCATAGCGTTTGCGACAGCTTCAACCTGGAAAACTTTACCCTTTGCTTCAAGCAGTGGTTCCCCTCCTTTAGAGGGAAGGGATATATTTGTAGGGATGAGTATGTGTCCAGTCCAAGAAGTGGCCATATGAGCCGATCCGATTCCAGGTTCTCGAGATTATTGGTCCGATTCTCGATTGCCGGTTTTTGGGTAAGAATTGAACTGGAAAATCATGAACCGCCATTACATGTTTTGAACTTTCTATTGTTTATTTTAGGAAAAATTCCAAATAAGGACTTGAAGTACCTTCATTTTATCAAATGAGGGCATGAAGTGGATATTGTGTCAAATAAAGACTTGAAATGTCATTATTTTTTTAAATAAGGGCCCGATGTGAACCTTTAGTCTCAAATGAGGGTCTGAAGTGGCTATATCAATCTCAAAGCAGAACCTGACCTCGCCTGCCGAAGGTTATTTATCGTATTTTACTTTTTTGAATTCTTTTTCCTTTTTTTCTTTCTTTTTTCCTTTTTCAGTTTTTTTCTTTTCCTTTTCCTTTTTCCTTTTTTTTCCCTTTTCCCTTCACCGGCCATCGCTGGGGTCGGCGACAGCAAGAGCCGCCCTCGCCGACGTCGGGAGAGAGTCGCCATTGCCGGTGTTGGGTGAGGACCGCCCTTGCTTGGGCCGGCGAGGGCGGCCCTTGCCTGGGCTGGCGAGGGTCACCCTCGCCAGCTTGCCCTCGCTAGCCCGGGCGAGGGCGACTCTCGCCCGACGCCGGCAAGGGAAACCCTCGCCTGAGGTCGGCGAAGGTTGCCAGCCAGGCGCAGTGAAGACTGAGGAGGGAAGAAGAAAAAAGGAAAAAGAAAAAAGGAAAAGGAAAACGAAAAGGAAAAGGAAAAGAAAAGGAAAAGAAAAATAAAGTAAAAAAAATCAAAAAAATATACTTATAATTTTTTTGACAAAAATGCCCCTTTTTCGACGATAGAATAGTTACCGGCCGGCCAAAGATCCTTATTTGAGATGATTTTACCACTTCATGCATTTATTTGAGACGATTTGGCCACTTCAGGTCCTTATTTGGAATTTTCCCTTTATTTTTTTTACGTGTATCTTTTATGGATTGTTGCTATTGACAAATGAGGATTTTTGTTGTGTTCACTTTCTTCTTACTTAACTAAAAATGAAACCAAAAAAAAGAAAGAAAAAATGAAACAAAAATAAAGAAAGTTGTCGATTCCCGAGCTGTGGAACCGATTGACAGAGTAAATTCCAAGTTTCAGAATATGTAGGGAACTTGGACCAACCTTGGAAGGCTGGAATCGCTTACCCCGAAATATTTGTAAACGAAAATAAACTCGACCCGAATCTCTAGGGTCGCTCGAGAAGGAGATTTGTAATATATGTATTGTTTATTGAAAACTTCATAATGAGAGAAAAATTTTTCTATGAAAATAAAAATGATTAGTTTTTTTTATTTAGTGGTTTAGGAAAATCGATTTCCTTCTTGTTAAGAAGGGAAGACGTTTTACCAAAATTTAAACTTGTTATTTTTCAGTCAATGAAACATATTTTTCGTAAATCAATTAATTTTTCAACATCCAAGTATTTGACCAAAAAAACCTACTCGAAAGTCGGAAAAATAATTTCCTGAAAAAACCTTTCCCTCAAACTTAATCTTCTAACCTCAGTGTAGTCAAGTCGGATACACCAATCGAGAGAGAGATGGAGAGATGCCAACCTGACATGGACAACAGTTTGTTGTCTCCAGACACATGCATTTTAGATCTCCTGGAAATTGTTCCGAGATTGCCTCTGCCTTAGCAAAGAGAAGCTTCCTTGTGCAAAGCCCGAAAGACCCTCCTGTGAGAGAAGTCCATAGACTCGAAATTCCAGGTCGTCGGAGTGAATTTCGCCGTAAAGCCCGTAAAGGGATTGGTGAAACGATGTTAATGCATCGAAAGTCTTGATGGACCAAACACCAAGTCGGTCATTGGCTCTGCTGATGCATCGAAGTCAGTCTTCAGGAATCGAAGTCTCCATCGAAAAGACCATCAGCTCTTCGTATCAATTTCTTAGGGCCCGATCGACACGCAAACGTGAGGAAAAAGTAGAGGAAGGAACCAATATCGTTGCTTGTTCTCCACCGAACAATTTCATTCTTCATTTCTTCGTAATGCGTGAGACATGGAGTGAGTAGTCTAAAGAGATAATGATCAAAACGGTTCTTCAACTTTGACTCAATGTGAAATATAATCTCCGAACTTTAAATTTGTTCAACGTAATCCCTGAACATCATCCCTGAACTTTTAATTTATTCAATGTGATCCCTAAATTTTTGGTACATATTCAATTTAGTCCCTAGACTGTATGAAAAATGTTCAGTGTTGCCCTTCCATCAATTCAAGTTCAAAAGAATTAAATATTTTCATACAGTTCAGTAATTAAATTAAACATGTACTAAAAGTTCACGGACTATATTGAACAAATTAAAAGTTTGTGGGCGACATTACACGTTGAGCTAAAGTTCATGGATCGCATTGAACAAATTTATAGTTCATCGAACACATTGCATATTGGATCAAATTTCATGGACCTTTTATGTCATTTACCCCAGTCTAAAAGAGAGAGAAAGCATCCTGGTTTTAGGGTCACATGAATATGCATCTTGCCCAAGGTGGTTATGAAATGATAACCGATGTTACATGTTGAAGCCTGATTCATCAGGTTAGAATAAAGATTCAGCAATGAGCAAGTTTTTTTTTTGGAAATGATAAGGGGATAAAATAGTATCGACAACCTAATTTCCTTAAATTGTGTCTTCTTTGCGTTTTTGTCTCTCTTGGGGACGACCTCGAATCATCATCCCCACGGTGTGGTGACCCTGATCTAAGAACATCTATGGTTGCTAGCGACCTTAATTAGATCGAGATCACAAGCTGCATCAAGGCTTGGACAACCTCGATAGTGGAGAGTAATGGAGAGAGGCCAACTTGACGGTGGAGACAACAGTTGGAGGGACCACTGCCGACTGTTCTAATTGCTTAAGCCGTTAGATGAAAGCGTGTTTTATTATTTAAAATCCTAGTACTCCACCTTACGTGTAGGCTAGACTTTGACCTAAGCCTAAAGCATGAAAATATATAATTATGAAGGCAAATAGGGGTCCGGAAAGATTTGAACTCAAAAACTGCTGCTCTACTATCATGTGAGATTTTGTGGGACTATTGCCGACTGTTCTAAATACTCCACCTTACGCGTAGGCTAGACTTTGGCCTAAGCCTAAAGCGTGGAAATATATAATTAGGAAGACAAATAGGGGCTTGGAAAGATTTGAACTCAGAAACTGCTGCTCTGATACCATGTGAGATTTTGTAAGACTACTGCCAACTGTTCTAAAAACTTAAGCTGTTAAATAAAGGCGTAGTTTATTATTTAAATATTCTAACAGAGGCAATGGAGGGCGGTGATCGCGAGTGTGGAGAGAGGTTAGGACTTTATGTGGACAAATATTAGATTTACTAAATTGGTTTGCAAAATTGATTTACAAAATGATGTGTCAAATTGTTTTTGACCGTTGAATATGATGAGTTTGTTTAAAGGCACACTTGCAAATCTAACAAATCACTACAGTAAATCAATTTTGTTAACTAGTCTTAATAATCTAGCATTGCTCTTTTGTAAGTTGTAGGATTTTGAGAAATTAGGATTTGGAATTTGGGTAAGAATGTGAATCACGGACATATCTATAATTTTTTTTGTAAGATTTTATCCTAAGAAGATGCAGAGTGATAGTTTTAGTTTTGGATATAGAGGATGTAAAGTGATGTGATGGTTATATGATAAAAGGTGATAATCAATATTCGTTGGAGAAATTTGATTGCATATAAAGATAGAGCAGTAGTTATATATATTTGATACTTTGATGCGTAATGATAATCACTGTCTTAAGATATTATTTGCCTCCACTATTATTGTTGCTCGGTTTATAATAAATATACCTCTAGTATATACACCAAAGTCATCGAGAAATGAGTTCATCAATCGCTCAATTTATTTCTTGAAATTTCACCTTGAATGTGTTATCAAACTTGTGTGTGAAAAGAGAAAAATAATAGAGAATATTGTGAAGAAAAGATAGTTATGCAGAAGAGATGTTACTATTCTAGAACATGTGTATTGTACAATGTATGAATTGGTCATATTAAAAGACAATCAATCAACACATTTCTTGGAAATATATACCTTATCCCTACTATCACCACTTTTCATAATTAGCCATCACATCTCTTCATGTCGATAATAATTTCTTTTCATATCCAACAATCACCCCTTTTCATGTCCAACAATCACCTCTTTTCATGTCCAACAAACTATTTCAACAATCCTTCACTTAGGCTCCGTTCGTTTGGCGGAAAATATTCTCCTTTTGGAAAATATTTTCCCGGAAGTTATTTTCCTGGAAAATGTTTTCCCGGAACATAATTTTCCGGTGTTCGGCGACCAATATGAAAAAGTTTCGGAAAATATTTTTCGCCGGCGACCGGCGACCGGCGGCGGCGTCCGGCGGCCGGCAACCGGCGGCGGCGACCGACGGCGGCGGCACCGGCGACCGATCGCTAAGCTCCGGCGTTCGGCGGAGGCGGCGGCGTCCGGCGGCGACGGCATGTGGCGGCGGCCGGCGACCGACGGCTAACGTCCGGCGTACGGCGGCGGCGCGGTTGCCGGCGGCCGGGCGACCGGCGGCGGCGACCGGCGGCGGCGACGGCGGCGGCTGGCGACCTTAGTGAAGAAGAAGAAGAAGAAGCTCGGAAAATGATTTCCGCTTTTGAAGAAGCGGAAGTCATTTTCCGTAGACTTAGGCTATTTTGTGAGGGGGGGAAGGAAAATATTTTCTCACAGAAAACGTTTTCTGCCCACCGAACACCGGAAAACCCGGAAAATATTTTTCGGAAGAATATTTTCCGCCAAACGAACAGAGCGTTAGTTTGTTGTAATAGTTTGTTATAATATTTGTTAAGATTTGAACTTTCAATTTGTAAACAATTCCATTAACGAAATCAGTGGTTGATAAAATTTTGAACCATGATTCCAATTGTTAATCGAATTATCACACAAATAAATTTACACACATTCTGTTAGAAATTTCCTATGCCTTGGCACTTTTTATGGCCTTATGCTTCCTTCTGCATTCATGAACATTTATAAAAGTTCATCCGACTTTTTTTAGAAGCGGCACTACTTCTTATGTTCATATAGGTGAAGTTTCTAACTCATTACCATATCATTGCCTTGTTAAAACCTTAAACTTCATTAAAAATGTTTTCTTACACTCATCCTCCTAACTTTCCATGAGTACTAATCTTGTGCCCCAATTCTCGATCACTGTTAAGATACAATAACTTGTTACCGATTGAACTTCAACAATTTTGCTAGAAATGATAAAGTTTGGTTTCCATTATACTTGATTATTATCGATTGGCAGGACTACTAACTAAACTTCTCAAGAGTCCATTAGTGAATGGATTGACCAAGTTACTATTTGTCCAAACATAAGTTGCCGAAATAATTCCATTAGTAATCAACTGTCAAACATACTCATGTTGCAAACTAATATATCTAAATTATCCATTGTATATTTTACCTGTGTGCCCTAAACATAATTGCCCCATTATCACAACGTAAAGACATGATTGCCATTGGTTGTGGCCACAACTCTATACCCAATAGTAAATTCCACAACCATTCAGCCTCTCAGCCTCTTTACTAGCCATCGATAGTTATATAAATTTAGATTCCATCATTGAGTGAGCTATACAAGTTTGCTTCTTTGATGCCCCAGAGACTGTACCATTTGCAACTTGAAAACCCATCCAAATGTCAACTTATTATCAATTGTGCTAGTTATCCAACTATCATCTGAATATCCTTCTAGTATTTTTTATTGTCTTCCATGATGTATCGTTTTCTTTAAGTAATCAATAATTCTACTAATGACCTTCCAATGCACAGTACTAGGATAACTAGTAAATCTTGATAATTTACGCACAATAAAGGCTATATCCGGTCTAGTGCAATGTATAGCATATATCGTAATTCTAATTTCACTATATATTCTAATTATGCTAAAGGTCATCCAGGATTTTCTATCAATTTAATTGACATATCATATGGTATATTGATTCTTTATTTCCTAAATGCTGATATTTTTGAATAATTTTCTCCACATAATGGCCTTGACTTAAATCATAACCCCGCCAATATTTTATCCACTTTGATACTAAATTGAAAAGATATATACTTATTAGTTTCATATATGCTAATGCATAATTGTACCAACAATCAACATATCATCTACGTATAAGCAGATTACAACTCTACACTCTTTGGTAAATTTTGAATAAATGCACTTATCAACATTGTTATGCTTAAATCCATATGAAAATAGCACCGAATCAAATATATATTTCCATTATTTCAGTACTTTCTTTGTCTCTGCTCATATTACCGTCCTCAACAAAATGCATCTTATTTCCAACTTCTTTCACATGATTAGCCTCAGGATCCTAAGAACCTTCCTCAATTCGAATGTTTTTCATCAAATTATCCACAATCATGTTCTTAATCACGTGTTGAAGTTTCTTTCGATAATCATTCCAAGTTGGAAGTAATTTTGAAATAATTGCAATAACTTGAAGAGGTTCAGAAACTTCAATAATAAGGTCTTTGAGTTTGTCAACATATATTTGAAGTCGCTGCACTTGCTTAGGGATAGATTTTCCATTAATCATGGTAAATTCAAAATATTTCAGAACAGTAAATTTATCCATACCTTGTTTGTCAGTATTGTATTTGGTCTCCAAGAAATTCCAAATGTCTCTGGAATTTGTGTAAGATCAAAAAATTCATATAGACGATCTGACAAAACATTGAGAATTCTTCCTCGGCATCTCCTTTCATCATCCTTTTCTTGTCAAGATTATCATATGATATCATACCACTTTTATTCATATATTTTAAAATACTACAGCAACATGAGATAATCTATTATGACATAAGAAAGATGACTCAACTATATAAACAGAAATAAAAGTTTCATTAACACTTATTTGTCAAGATTGCAAGCACTTGATGTAGCCACTATCTCCATCTTCATGAAAATAATACCTTAAGATTATTAGGGAAATTTGATTGCCGATGACAATAGAGCAATAGCTATACATCTTTGATGCGTGATGACGATAATTATTTTTAAGGTATTATTTGCCTTCATTATTGTTGCTATCAGGTTTATAACAAATATACCTCCATGACATACACGAAAGTCACAGAGAAATAAGTTTAGCAATTATTTAATTTCTTTCTTGGAATTTCACTTGAATGTGTTATCAAACTTGTGTGTGAAAAAGAGAAAAATAATATAGAATATTGTGAAGAAGAGAGAGTTATGAAGCAAAGAAGATTGTTGTTCTTCAACGGTGGCATTGTACAATGCTACTACAATGTATGAATTTAGTCGGATTTACAGACCAATCAGCACATTTCTTGGTAATGGATACCTTATCCATACTATCAATGGTTTCATGACATCAGTTCTCTTTATGTCAACAATCTATTCTTTTCATAACTAACAATCACCTCTTTTCATGTTGTCCAACAAGTACTGCTTTTTATGATAACAAACTATTTCAATAATATTTATCCATCAAATTTACATGAATGGAAAGTGATACTTTTGCATAGACATCGATTGAAATGCCATTATCCCAGCGACTAAAGTTTGTAGTCCAATCAATGTTCTTCACTCGGCGAAAGAGAAAGAATTTGCGCGAAACACCAAACACTCAAGCTGTTTCTTTCATTTTATACATAGGAAAATTCATAACTCTTTAAAGGAATCGTTCTCGTTTACCCTACAAATCTTTAATTAATAATCACGTAACTTCGCGTAACGATGGATCTTGAATTTTCCCACCCCAAAAAGCAAATTCTACGAGTGATTTGTTCAAATAAATACATTTTCAACTTTAGAAAATTTATTCCGGGATAATGTCCATTAGCCTGCAAATAATTGATAAATTTTCAATCGGTAATTCTATCTTCACCTGCCCAAGCAAGACGGCGGGAAGCAGTTTTAACTTCCGGGCAACGGCGTAAGAGGCACGCGCCACCGCACCGCGCGTGCGATTCGTCTGTGAAGATGGACGAGCGAGAGCCATACGCCCCGATTGACTCCTAACCGAATCGAAGCACGCGGAACGCCCAGCTTCCGCAACGCGAATGCTCTGACGAGAGCATCCGCCACTGGATGACGGCGGCGGCGGCGACGACGACGGCGATGCTGACATCCTCCGCCGTTCCTCCGCCCATCGCCGCCAGTGCCGGGGCCGGCGCGTTCCCTCCTTTCCTTCCCAAACAGGTGGAGAGTATCAAGGACCCTTACGCGCGCAAGCTCGCCTCTCGCATCGAGAGGCTTCCCGTGCGTACTCTCCCTCTGGCTTTTCAACTCGTGCTTTCGTGTATTATGGCTCGATTTCCGTCACGGCGAAAGTTTTTGAGGTCGTCTCGGTTCATGTGTGATTTCGTATGCGATTGTTGCTGGTTTTAGACGGTAGGAAGATAGCGACGACAGCTTTATCTCACGACATTAGGCGCGTAATGTGTTTGTGTTGTTCTGGGAAGTGGAAAAAGATTGATTTTCTCGAGTTTCTCGGAGTTGAGTCCTTGAGCATTACCGCTTTCCACTGAACTGGCTAAAGACTGTTTAGGGATAAGGAAATGTATGTCAGATCAACACAGGATGACAATTTCTGAACCTCGCAGAGGAAATTCGGTTCTTATCGCTGCATCGGAGATTGACCATTGTTTCAATTCAATTTCTATATGAACTACATAATTTAACAGATGGTGTGACCAGAAATGGAACTTCTCGTCGTTGTCGGTCCAACATAGCTATAAATTGGAAGCTAAAGGCTAAATCATCTTTTTTTCAACTTTTAAAAATTAGATTGTCAATGAGTAGGTTTCATGATCCGTTGCTCGGCTCAATGCAGGTAAGCTTCTCGGAAAATTGCATCATGAGCAGCTGTGTGAAGCCGCTAGTAAAAGGAGAGCCTAATCCGGTGGTCCTGCTACATGGTTTTGACAGGTTCCTAGTCCATCCGGAGTACTATAAGAGTGAGCTTAAAGTCACTCTTCTTCTGATGCATATTTGTCCTGCAGCTCTTGTTTAGAATGGAGATACACATATCCGTTGCTTGAGGACGCTGGTCTAGAGACTTGGGCTATCGACATTCTTGGTTGGGGTTTCTCTGATCTAGGTGAGCTTTTATGCCTCTTCTCTTGGCTGAATCTTCTGAGCATCCAAGTCTCTCTATGTTCCACAAGTTGTTTCAAGGTTCTTTCTTATTCTTTTGCATGTGAAAGAACAACTTCCAGCATGCAATGTGGCAAATAAGCGCAACCATTTATATCAGGTATTTTCATTACAGGGCATCTTTTTGTCCTGAAAGAAAAGTTTTTATTGAGAAAGCTGTGAGCCCCTTGTTTGACTGACGGAAGAATTGCAAATGTTCAACTGAGATTTCAACAGTTTGTTTCCTTATTGATCCTTGTAGGTTTCAGGATATCACTTCTGAATATAATGCTAACCTCATTTTTTTCTCCTGTATTTGGGTTTTGCACCTGTGATAAAGCACCCCAACCCCATTCACACGGTAGAGGGTGCTCACTGGCACCATGCTTGTTTAATTTACTGCCCTGCCTATTTGTGTTTTCTAGTTGTTACTGGTTGCTAAGAATTCAACGAACTGTCAATTGCAGTACTAATTAAGAAGAAAAACTACATATAAACAGTAAGTGGCCATCTTATTTTCGAAAATCGTTCTATGTTTTATTCAGTTTGGTGTAGTCGAACTTTTTCGGTTTTATGTATGAAGTGTAGCTCTGGAAATCCTACATCAAGAAGCCAATGATATTGGTTGGACCAAGCCTTGGTGCGGCTATTGCAATTGATTTTGCAGTCATCCATCCAGAGGCAGTAAGTACTTCTCGATATCCACGATTTAGCATTGCTAATGTAAACGACTATACTTAAATTGGATCAGAAAGAGTTACTTGTGCAACGTGTCAACTTGTCCAGGTTGAAAAGCTAGTTTTGATTGATGCCAGTGTATATGCTGAAGGCACAGGGGATATGGCGAACTTACCTAGAGCTATTGCCTATGCTGGTGTAAGTTCTACTCCTGAAGAATTCAATCCTTAATTAATACGTATGTAATCGGTCCACCTTCTATTGAAGGTGCCGTGGTTATTATCTAATTCGGTTCAAAATTTTCATCCATTTTCACGCAATCATCTTGGACCTTTGAATATCCGGTGATCAGATTCTTAGTTGATGAACTTTTGCGAGTTTTAGCTTGTTTTAGAACTTACTCAAGGTTTTGTTTAAGGAAAGGGAGATAGTGGTTGCTGCACAACTAACAAACCAATGGAGTGTCTGTTTGGGTTAGCTGTGGTTTTGGCGTTTGACTTTGGCCCATTGTTGTCGAGACCCCTTACCCCTTGCAACTGCGATTGAGTATAGTGTTTCAAATGTGGTTGCTCCTTGATAGAATGTCCAACCAAAAAGCTTAAGACATTAGGTGGAGAGAGACCGCATGTATATTAGGTGCATATAAATCATACAGACAAGTGATATGCGATACTTTAGCACCCCCTCTCATGTGCAAACTAGAGTGAGAATGACAAGTGATTGAGGAATAGGGAGCCTCACACGCGAGAAATATATCTAGGGCAAAACCTAGCTCTAATTGGTGTTAAAAAGCCCAATCCAAAAGCTTAACTCACTAGGTGAAGGAAGGACACATGTACATAAAAAGCATATAATAGATAAGCGATATGAGATACTTCCATTTTCTTGATGTTCAGAATCTTCAGATTACCAAAGTTGGCTATCCCGAGAGATTACACCACATTTTTGCTCTACTGAAAGATACCAAAATAAATCTAATTGGTCCGGCTTTGCTGAAAACTTGAGATTTTACTGTCTTGACCTAAATTAGACTTTTGGATTTGTAGAAATCAGTTGTACAAGTACCAGTTTACTTGATTAATCATAGTCAAAGTTGCGCGTCACTTTCAAATTCAAAGCAAATATAACTAAAGATGCTATTACCTTTGAATAATGAATAGGCAATGATTCCAACCGATGGTCCAGATCGTTCTGCTATCCAAATTAACAACTTGACTAAGCCTACCTCTATAAAACTCTAACTTGAAGCTGTGTGGCATGGCTTTATACTTTTGTGTCAAAAGCTTTAAGTTGGGGGCCAAAGTCTCCCTAAACACACACTCCTTATGCCGTGGTTTGGAGAACCGCGGAGGCCATCTGGATATTTCTAGAAGTATGGCTTCATTCTGGAACTGAGAACAACAATGCGCAAAGTCCTTTTAACTGATGAGGTTGAATTAGATACTTCTTATCTAGATCGCTAAATCCGGCAAAGATCATATATTCAATCACTAGAGGAGGGAAATTGCTGAAGTTCAAATAGCTTTTGAGCTGATAGCTGTGCTTGCACTGTTCAGATTTAATTTTTTCCTCCCTTATTCACTTTTGGAATGATTTATGACTGGTAAGACAACCTGTAGTATTGCTTACTGTTACAGTAAAATTATGCAGGGTGTGAACTTAATGTGGAATATGTTACAGGATGTTGCTACAGTAAGATGAGATACAGTTTATGGCAACTTGAAAAAAATATTGTGGCGTAATATACCTCAGTGCATCATAAAGAATGGATTTCATATATCTGCAAATAAAATTTTACTGATTTTTTTGGGCCAATCAAATTCTGTTGAGTTTGCTAGTTTTGCTCATTACCAAATAAACTCTAGAGAGCTTTTGGAGCACTTTATTTAATTAAGATGTCATCACAGTAATCGCATCACTTTCCACGCAAAACTATGGCACATAAAAAAAAAAGTCCACATGTAAATAATGTTACAAAGAGGGGGCAAACTTAACAGTTTCTAGTTCCTTCATGCTGCAACAATAACAACAACAAAAGCCTGATCTTTTGAAGCGGAGTTTGCCTATGATCCTGTATGCTAAATGAGATGATTTACTACATATATACTTCCTCCCGAATTTGATGTTTTGAGATTCAGTAGATCAGATGAGAGAGTTGTTCTTGATACAGGTATCTATATTGAAGAGCTTTCCTCTCCGCTTCTATGTAAATGTTTTTGCATTCAGTGGTCTTCCACTCAGCACTAACTTGGATTGGACTAATGTGAGTCTTCCTCACATATTCGTGAGATGAGGCGTTTTCACTCATCATACTTGGGTCTTCTTTCCAGTCATGCACCTTCAGGATACTGAAGAGATAAATTTGTATTTTATCCTAATCAAATCTAGGTGGGGAGACTGCATTGTCAATATCCATGGTGGGAGGATGCTTCAGTTGATTTCATGCTTAGTGGTGGATACAATGTGACTGACAAGATTAATCAGGTATGCAGAGTGATGTATTCCCATTTATTGGCAACTTTCTTTGTGGTGCATATAGAATTCCTTGAATTCATTATGACCAAGATAAAGCAAATTATGAAGGGTCAGTCCTGATAGTCTGATCCCCAGACTCAAAGCATGGGAGATCATCGTATCTAAAAGCTACAATGGCAGATTATTTTGCATCTAGCATGACAATCTGTGCTAATTCCAAGTTCAATTAATTTCTTATCAGAAAAGACATACATTATGTCATGGCTTCCAAAGTGTTCCTGCTTCATTTGTGCCCAGCTTGAGGCTGCAGTATGTGCCCAGCTGCAGATCTTCACTTCTAATTATGCACTTTATCCTACAAAATCTTTATATTGAATCTTTGCTTTCTTTCCCTTGGTAAGAGCATCAATTGCTGTAACACAAGCAAATTCTTTTACTAGATAATTCACTTGAAACGCCGGTTTCATGAGGCTTCTCTGCCTCCCTTCAGCACCTTTCTTCTCAATTTCTGGGAGAGCTTTGAAGAATGTGTTACAGCTGCTTTCAGGTCATAGCTCGCATTTCTTGTATGCTGGAACTCTTTCATAAAAATTGAGCGACTGATTTAGGGGATCTTTCCTCACATGCAAGCAGCAAAGTTGCTCTTGTCCTTCAATCATTGAGCTTGTCTGTTTGTTTTATTTGCAAGTTCAAGAGAGGTATTCTCGAAGTTTATCAATCTTGGATATGCTTTTGTAGTTCTTTTCCGGGTGCTGACTGTAACATGCTATTACAGGTGGAGCAGAGAGCACTCATCATATGGGGAGAGGATGACGAAATTATCAGTAATAAATTGGCCGTGGTCAGTTCTTGTTCCCTTTCTTAAATTATAGTTAGCTAGCTACTACTGAGGAGATGATTATCCATTTCAAGCTTTTGAGTAGTAGTATATGGAAAGCTTATCAAAGTTCTTTTACCAATTGACCGGATGACTTCAATTTTCTCATGGATCCATGCAACTCCAAAGGTTCCCCGTTCAGTTGTAGGAAAATGATTTCTGGTCTACTTCGATGCAGAGACTGCATGCTGAGCTGCCAAACTCAATTCTTCACCAGATACCAGACTGCGGCCATCTTCCTCATGTGGAGAAGCCAAACACCGTCGCCAATTTGATAACCGACTTTGTGCTGGAAGATAGCACTAAAGAAGCTGAATTTGTCTCTCTAAACTGAAATTTATTCGCCGACATTAGCTCTTAGAGAATTGGTTGTCTTCGTCACAAGGATCATCGGCAACAAGCGGTATCCCACTGCCTCTAAATCTATCATTTCTGCGACTTTACTTAATCATCATTCGAATTTGCATTTTCATTTCGTACACTAATCCGAAACTGCCAAAGTCTGACTATGATGCATCTTCATCATAATAGATTGACATTTGACTTTTGACATTTACCGCTTGATGGTCATGCGCTCGCTCTTCCTTGGAAGAAAAATGAAATCCCTAATGAATGATCCACGCGAATTGGTCATATCAACTATCAAGTGTCTGTTGGCGTTAACCCTATGTTCAAATCATTGGACACAGAACGGAAATGAATACTTCTTAGTAGCTTAATCTAAACTCTGCCTGATTTTGGTGTTCCGAATTGTGTAAGTTTTTCGATTTCTCTGATAATTTACTTAATCAGAGCAACGATGAATTTTCTTATCTTGTCATAGCTATTCTTTATTACTATTTTCCACCTCACATTCCCCATTTCTTCTAATGGTATCCAAAAGTTCTCTTCCCCCATCCTATCATCGTATAAGTTAGGTCGGCCGTCACTTCGTTAGGGGACTCAAAGGCGTAAACGGCAAGGAACTTATCAAGACACATGGAAAAAAGAGCACAGTAGTAGCACCACCAGTTACACATTATTACATACAAAAAAATACTACTACTCCTCCCTCCCTCCTAAATATACAGCAATAATAAATCTCTACTAAGAAGAAAAAGATCAGCTCTTCTGCCCCCACCGGTGGTCACGTCACCACCACTCACAAGAAAAACAGGAATCAAATTCCCAAACTTCCTTCTTTTTTTTATCATCACACAGGGAGGTAAACGACAAGAAAACCCTAGTGGGGTCTGGCCCTCGATGATATGATTCCCCAAATACCAAAAGATATTGCCATTCTCATGGCAGCAGTAGTCCTGGCGAATCTCCTCCGCAGATCAAACCCCAAAGGTTGTCCTCCCTCCTCTCTTTTTATGTTTTTACATCTTCGGTGGACCTTCAGGCCCACAACACCAACGAGAGTGAAAACCAGAAGGTGGTGGCAAGGGCAACAAGGACCGTGCCTGCTCTTTGGATGGACATGGCAGCGTCATTGGCGTCGGTGATGCTGCTAGGACCCAGTCCCGCGCCGCTGTTGAACACCGGGGTGGTGCTCGGGGTGGTGGTGGTGGTGGTGGTGGGCGTGGTGGAGGTGGTTGGGGTGGTGGAGGTTGTCGGTGAAGTGCTTGTGGTAGGAGTGGTGGTCGGTGTGGTACTCGCAGAACTGTATCAAAAGAACAAACGAAGTAAATAAAACACACAAGGTATCACCAATTGAGGTCCTCAAGTAAATGAAAGACACAGCTGAAGTTACAAAGTTTTTTCAACAAGCGTCTTTCCTTCTTCTCCAGATTGAGCTCATCATGTGAAGATGACAAAGAAAGGGACAAAGGGTGCGTACAAAAATCACTATCTGGGACAGCTCACATCGCAACCAACGTGGGACGCTAAATAATTGGGCACGGGATACACTTTTTCCTAACTAATTGACACCAAATTCTCAACTCGTGATGAAAGAGGTCTTTGATGGCATCTTTGTTCATGGGATGCAAAATCCCCCAAAGAAAAATCTATCTTGTTAGTACAGATCAAGCTGTTCAAGAGAAGGAGCAGGAAAAACAGAGCAAGCAGATCCAAGGATAGGAACTGGATTCAGATTCTTGGGTGTTCTTTTCATGTTTCTCACGACTACCAACAAGAATATCTTGAAAAAGATTTGATCTATGAGCCCTCCCAAGTCTAAAAGCCATCAGGTTCACTCCAGAAAGTAGGAACTTGATCTGGGTACGAGATTCTCTCTCCTCAGAAAGTTGAGCACAAGCGTCTCTTCTTGAAAAAAAATGATTTCTTTTCTTATATGATGATGATCTGTGCTGCCGAAGAGTAATGAAAATGGTAATTTGAGAATCATCTCTTTACTGGAGAATCAAGAAACTAGAAGTAGCATACCTGGCACTTGAGGGATACACACACCCAGAAGATTGGTCTGCACATGCACATCAGATTCAAACATATGAGAACAGAAAATTACATTGATAACCCATTAGAGATTCTACACTATCAAACCGAAGAAAACACTGAAATTAAACGGCCCCAAATGATTGAACAGAAAACAGGATCTCGATAGGTCTTACTGGGAACAGAGGTTGCGGTGGTGGCAGTCCCAGAGAAGTCACAGCTACCGGTGACTTCGCCTTTCTTCTGGAAGTAGCTGTTCACAGCATAGTTGCAATGATCCTTGAGAGTGTTTGGGTTGTAACAAGCCCCGGTTTGGAGGATTGGACTGCAATCAGCACCAGCTCCACAAGCGTAGTCCAGGGTCTTTTGCAAAGCTGAATCGCTCACCCCGTCTTTGCAGATACAGTATGTTGCACCTAAACAAAGGCAGAGACAAAAAAAAAATTGAGGAAGAAAGAGGAAAAGAAAGACCATCATTGAGCAGTCACTTCAAACAAGGACCGAATCACTTCTTAAAGAAATGCTTTCTGCTAATCCAGGAGATAAGAGAAATCTGGACATGATCTGTTTCGGCCACCCACCACCAACTGGGTGAAATAAAACCCTCTTCTGCCAGGAACTAATATTTTCTTATTTGTTTCTTGGCCGTAAACAGGGACCAGTTTCTCAACAGAGATAAAGAAAAAATGAGATGAGAGCAAGAGATCTCTTCAGAACCCAAAACAAGATGTGACCATCCATCACAAGAAGAGTGAAATTGCTCTCCTCTCCATAGCTTGTGAAGCTCAGGGAATTAAAAAAGACAAAAAAGAAGGGAGTAAAAGAGGCAGAACAATAGAAGAGCTTACTTGAACAGCCGGCCATGGCCAAGAGAAGTATCAGAAACGCTAAGAAAGCCATTTCCTGGTTGCTGGACCGGCAACAATCAGATTGAGAGAGCCCTGGATGAGCCTGATTATGTGAAGATGGCGGTGTCTGAGTCTCTGTAGGATGCTTGAGAGAGAGAGAGAGAGAGAGAGAGAGAGAGTTCTAGACAAGAATATGAGAGTGATGGTGAGTGGCTGCTATGGTGGGTAGCGTCTGCATCTCCTTTCAGACCTTTTATGTGTCCCCAGAATGTATTTAACTATAGCCTTCGTCATCAGTACCATACATACGCCACCATTATAATTCTGGTGAGGCGGGTGGCACTGACACAGTCGGGGCTGGTGAACCGACATTGGAGCAAGCCCAAACCTTTTCATTTATACATTTTCTCCGTCGACCAAAAGAATTCTCTGTTTTCTGATCTTGCTAATAAATCCCTTAGTCCGTTTTTGGAGCAAAGAGTGAAGCCTAACCTTAGCCAGGTACGAGCTGTTTGTCCACACTCCTCTCGAACGGTCACAACCCCATGTGCACTGTGCAAAAAAGCAGGGTCCATCCAGCATCTACCTCGAGGTAGTGTACCTTTAACCATATTTTGTTCATTTCTTTCGTAAAAAGTTTTGCTTTTTATCATAATTTTCCAAGTATTTTACTGCATGATGACGAATGTATCGCATTTGTGTGTCGGCCTGAGGAACAATGAACATGCCCTTCAAAAACTCTGTCTAGATTAAGCTTTCCTATCAGGAAATGGGTCTCATGTGACTCTCTCACTCTCTCTCCCTCTCTGCCGAGGTTTAATATTGCGACCGTAGACGAGGGAGGTCATCGGCCCGACAATGATGGAAAGGACGGCGAGGGCATCGACAGAGCTCCTCCGATTACTACCCCGTGCATGCGGAATACATATTGTTACTGTTAGAGGTACGCATCTTGCAATCTCCCGATCATTGAATCGTAATCGATTCAAAATCTGAAAATTACTAGCCAATTTTCATCTCGAGAGAACTTTAATTCCCTATCTTGCTCATCCTAACTCTAAATTAGATGCTCGCGACTGTCCTCGACCGATGTCTACTAGGCTTTCATCTCTCATTAACGACTACATCAGCTTTCGAACCTCGCTAATCCGTACTTATTAGTTAGAATCCGAGGACAACAGTATCATATAATTTTGTCTCCCAAACATGACTTAGAATGATTACCAGTGGAAAGGTATTTTGACAGCAATCATAATAAACATGATTACTTGTGTAATGTCATGGACGTGTTTAATAGACAACGATTTGGCGGTGGCGCAGAGGTGATCAAAAGTTGGCTAGAAAATGCATGGTTTCCTTCTTCTTTGTCAAGAAAGCAGATGCGTAGCTTTCTACTTTATGATGAATGACAACGAAAGTAACCCTCTCATATATACAAACCCGAAAAGGGTAGATAAATAAAAGATTGGAAAAATGGAAACTTTAATCGTATAACTGTTATTCACTTTTTGCTTCTCATACTATTGACGCATGTTTCGGTCGGGAATAGAGTCTTTTATTCTTCTTTTTTATTTGAAGTAGCAGCACAGTGGCCGTAGTTGCGATCGCTTTTGAGTTTCTACTTTCTGTGTGATGATGGAATGATCAAATGTGAAAGCAAACACTCCTTAGCGGCGGCCGACCTCTACTAACTTAAAGATTGAATGGTAGTTTTCTAATCAATCTCGTGGCCATCCTTAATTTAGTACGTCTGAGTGTGAAAACAGATGAAAGATATGTGGACGGTGTGCAGAGACCTGAAGTAATATGTTTTGATTGTTCCTTATGCTGCCAGTTTCAAGCATACTTTTGCTTGCTTTCGATTGTTTCGATCGACCCAGAAAGATATTCTTCCGCATTACACAATCACTTGGTTGAAAAGGGATCGGCATGTTTCTACGCGTCAGCAATATAGCAAACTTATAAAGCACTTTCTTAACCACTTAGGCGGTATAACATTTAGGGTGAGTTGTATTATTGGAGCAAGTGTTCCACTAACACCCTCGTTCGGGTTGAACGAGTAAGTGATTCCGCAAGTTCGAGAGTCAAGATGCGACTCCCGTCATATAGTAGTTAGTGCCCACATTTTCTGATCAGCAAGTTTCTCTAATACTACTCGTAACGACTCATTCGATCCGTATGAGTCATGCCACCCAAAAGAGTACTTGGGTGATGATTATTTAGGGGCAAGTTGTAGTTATAAATCAAGTCACAAGTCTTCTCTTGTCCAATCTTGGATCGATTTCGGTGTTACAAGCCCTACAACATCTGTGGGGGTTTCCACAATAGGACCTTACCTCGCTGGGGGCTTGTTAAGCAAAGAATCAAGCCAGCCAAACAAAAGAGATGTCTGTCCATAGTCTAATGACTAGTAACAATAATGAGAGAATAACTTCGCAATCGATACGTGGGGAAAATTACCAAAAAAGTCCTAAACCATTTGTAATTGTACCAATTCAGTCCATCCGGCCACTTTTGGCTGGCCGGCGCTAACGTGGACGCCGGCCGGCTGACGTGGCAATTTTTAATAATTTTTTATTACTTTTCGAAATTTTTTTTTCCCCTATCTTCTTCCCCGGTCACCGGTCCGGCGACCAGAGAGAGGCTGAGGCCGATGAGGGCCAGCCTCGTCGTCGCCGGGTGAGGTCGACCTCGCCATGGCCAGGGCGAGGCCTCGCCCGGCGACAGTGAGGTCGACCTCGCCATGGTCAGGGGGAGGCCTCGCCCGGCAACGGCGAGGCCGCCCAGATCTGGCGAGACCTCGACCTCGCCGTCGCCTGGGCGAGCTCGACCTCGCCCGGCCATGGCGAGGCTCGACCTCGCCCGGCGACGGCGAGGTCGAGCCATATTTGGGCGGCCTCGCCGTCGGCCGAGCGAGCTCGACCTCGCCCGGCGACGGCGAGGCCTTCCGCCGCCGGGCGAGGTCGAGCTCGTCGGGCGACGGCGAGGTCTCGCCAGATTTGGGCGGCCTCCCCGTCGCTGGACGAGGTGGACCTCGCCCGGCGACGGCGAGGTGGACCTTGTCGGCCTCAGCCTCAGCCTCTCACCGGTCGCCGGACCGGCGACCGGGGAAGAAGATAGGAAAAAAAAAAGAGAAAGAGAAAAAAATAAAAAAAATTCGAAAAAAATAAAAATAAAAATTATTTAAAATTACCACGTCAGCCGGCCGGCGTCCACGTCAGCGCCAGCCAGCCAAAAGTGGCCGGATGGACTGAATTGGCATAATTGCAAAAGATTTAGGACTGAATTAGCTAAAAAAAAAGGTTTAGGACTGAATTGGCACAGTTACAAAAGATTTAGGATTTTTTTTGGTAATTTTCTCTCTATACGTGAGAAGAGAATCAAAGAAAGAAAAGGGGGAGAGGGTAAGAAATGTAGCTTTCACACTTCATTTGTTTTTTCAGGGTTAGGTGTTGCCCACCAAAAAAGGAAGAGACACTTCAAGTATTCTTTGAAAATCTGTGGTTGCTTTTGCTCGACTTTATCTCCATGGGTCCTCCCCTCCCCAAAAAAAAACTAAAGTCTTTGATTGAGGGTTTGAAATTCTCCGCACGTCGAATGACGAATATCTGGACCACGAGCATAGGCGAGATGCTCTATCATGGCAAATACTGGTCTCCATTGATCCAAAGCAGTCGAGATCAATCACAATTCATGCTGCATGACATAACGAGACCAATCACTATCGATTCGTGTCATTGTATCATCTCTTGAACCCTCGATTTGAAACTGATGAACTGGCCAAAACGTTGGACTTATCACTAGGCTGGACTGTTAGGCAGAGAAGGCTGAAAAAACAGCAATGGTGAGTGTAAAAGGACAGAATTATGTTGCGGCTTCTTGGCCGTATATGGAGGCTGTCAACGCTCAACGTGCACTTCATAAGAGTCGTGCCTTTTGATTTTTTCTGATGTTTTTTATTAGCCCTGATTGAATCAGTCCCTTCAATAGGATCGACCCAGCAGCCTGAAATCTGAGAAATGAACGAATCCCCCTCGATTCCGCTCGCATGGTCCGTGATCAGTTGGTGATCAAGTGTTGAGCGGCGTGCTGTCAAATGAATGATTGGCAATTAAGAACATGAAGTGGAGGAGATGGAGCTTGACTACGTTTTACAGTGCAAGTTTTGTAGGAAGCATGCGCTTGGGTTCATGCCTGGGATATAAATAAGTATTACCGAGGATATCGTTGATTCTTTGAATCCTGGCATTATGATTTGGCATCATGAGTTTTCTTCTCCTTCTTCTTTATTTGTTTTAATAATTCCGAATACGGATATAAATATCAGGCTACCTAGAGATCCATGAAACACCCTGCAAGTCTCATGAACTGGTTTAGTCTAGACCTTCAACCCGTGCATGTGACCTCGACCGACACGCAATTCTTTGGATTCAAATAGATTTATCTCAATATTCTGAGCTAGAAGTCTCTCAATGCCCCAACCTATAATCCAATCCCGAGGGGGTCTTATAATGAATTCAAGACTGCATTATGCCTACAATTCTTTAGATGTCACGAGCAATTGAATCATGCCACGGCATCCCACGTGTTGGTGGGCGGAAATGCAAGGTTCCACCACTACTATTTAAACTAAAAAAATTTCCAATCCTACGGTGATTTAATCTTCTTTCCCCGACATATATTCAATATTTCCACCTTTTCCTAAGCAGCACACACGTCTTTTTACTATTGGAATTAGCCTTTTGAATGTCTGATTTGAACCTCCACCCCGAATCCCACGTCGGATGTCAAAAAGATCGCTGCGCACACAAATTGCCCTTAACCGAGACTCATCTCGCACTTGGTCCACGTGAAACGGGCCGGATCATTACGTCTAAATTATCTACCTAAAGTAAGAAGAAGAAGAAGAAGAAGATAACGGAGGACCTGCAAGCGAAGCAAACAACAAGGAGTTCTGAGAACTGGCCTTTTTTTCTTTCCGAAAGGGCATCTATCTGAGCTTTAGAAAGATATATGCTTCTTCTTGCATCTTCTTCTTTTATCTCTTTTTTCCCTTTCCTTTTTCACTTTCTTTCTTCGTGACTTTCGTTTCGATTCGTTTTTTAAGGGTGTCCAGAGCCCAAAAGGTCGTTTCTCCACACGTGTTGAGATTAGGTTGGAACGTTTCTCGGACCAAGGCATTGACGATTGCAAAAGAAAAGATTTCGCTCTAATTCGAGGTAATTTCGTACTTCGTAAGGATCTTTGAATTTTCTGGAACTTCTTATATCAAATTGAGTCCCTAAACTTTTCAAAGTCGGCTCATGGTAACCCTTTTGTTAAATGGATCGCCTATTCTTAGTCAACATAGAATGTCGAGGATAAATACCAAAAAAGTTATAAAAATATGCA